TATCCGCCATCACGCAGCAGTTTTTGAGGCTCTCCCCGCTGCTCTCACTGCCACAGGAACGGTCAGGGTCAGGGTCAGGGTCAGGGTCAGGGTCAGGGTCAGGAGTGGCAATGGGAACAAGTGGAGGGGTCCCCATCCTGCCTGTCCTGGGGGGGGACGGACAGGGCAGGGGTCCCCACTGCTCCCAGGGGAGAGGTTACACGGAGCCCGTGGCCTGGGGGTGCACTGGGGGGCACCCCAAGTGCCACCTCCCAGCCCGGGTGGGAGAGGGGTGGTGCTGAGGGAACAGGGACCGTGCTCACCTGCTCACCAGGCTTGCCAGCCTCACCGGGGGGGCCAGCAGGGCCGGGCAGACCCTGGGGGGAGGAAGAAGAGGAGCCATGAGACACCACGGAGATGGGGAACCAAAGGGGACAACGGAAGGGACGTCAGCCCCACCCTGGGCTGTTTGTCCCCTTGCAAGGGAAGGTGACATCCTCACCTGGAAGCCAGGAGCACCAGCAGGACCTTGTTCACCTCTTTCTCCAGCAGGACCCTGGGGGACAAGGGACAAGCATGAGAGGGGGGCAGGTTGTGTGGAGGGGGCAGTCAGGTCCTGAGCCCCTTCTCAGGTGGCCAGGTGTGGCTACAGGTGGCCAAGGACTCATGGATACTCACAGTAGGGCCGGGGGGACCTTGGGCACCAACTTCACCGTCTTTGCCAGCAGCACCCTGGGGGAGAGGGAGAAGAGAGTGCTCAGAGCACAGCCCCAGTTCTGCTATGACCCCCCAGGACCCTAAGCACCCCCCAGCCCCACCCCTGGGCAGATGCAGGGCTGGATGTGGCCACAGGATCCTTCGAAGGATGGCAGGAGCTGGGACCAGCTGCCCACTGCCACGTCATCTCCAAAGCCACCAGCAGCCACCGGGCTGGAGTCCCAACCACCTCCACTCGTTGCCATCCCCATCCTCAGAGCCTTCCCAGGCCCCATCCCAGCCCCACGCTGGGGGCTGAGCTCCCCTCCAAGCCCCCTCCCCAGGCTGGCCAGACTCTGGTGGGTACTCACAACAGCACCAGGAGGACCAGGAGCTCCTCTCTCGCCGGGTTTGCCGGGTTCACCCTGGAAAAGCAGGAGAGCAGGATGAGACCCGTGACAGGACCACAGCACCAGCCTTAGGGGATGCACCAGCACAGCCCTCCCCGAGGGGGGACACACACCCCTTGAGCCCCCCCTTCCTTGGGTCCTTGCTCCACAGGAGCCCTGTGCCCACCCCCAGCCACGCTCCTGGCTGGAGCCAGTGGCTGAGATTCCCTCCTGGAGCAGGATTCCCGGGTGCTCCAGGCAGCAGCATCCCCAGCAAACCTCCCCTCCCTGCACCCCGGGGGGGGGGGGGAACAGGTCCCCTTCCCACTCACCGCAGCACCTTTGGGACCAGGGAATCCCATCACACCAGCTTGACCTCTGGCTCCGGGGGGGCCAGGGGGGCCGGGGCGACCATCTTGACCAGCAGGACCCTGTGATGGGGGGGAGTGAGGGTCCCGTTAGTGCAGCCCGTGCTGAGCCACGAGGGGAGAGGGGACAGGTGAGGGGACAACTTACAGGGGGGCCAGTCTTGCCATCAGGACCGGGGCTTCCAGGACTTCCAGTCAGACCCTGTGAGGGAGCAAGAGGTGGGTGAGGAGCTCAAGGATGGAGCATCTTGGAACACTGGGCTTGTCCACCGTCCCTGGAGCGTGGGTGATGTGGACCTTCCTAGCAACCCCCTCCAGCACCACCACCCTGCCCAGCTCACCTTGGCACCAGGGAGCCCGGGTTCCCCGGGGCGTCCAGCTTCACCAGGAGAACCTTTGGGACCCACGGGGCCGGGGGAGCCACGTTCACCGGGGGGACCCTGGTGGGAGAGGGGACAGAGGTTACCCCAGCAGCAGGACACCCCCCGGAGATGGGGACAAGAACCATATCCCAGTACCAGAGGCACAGAAGCAGCTTGGCCACCAGGTGGGGACAGGTGACAACCGGTCTGTGTCCCCGTTGAGGACAAGGTCTTGTCGCCCGGGCAGGTTGGAGGGAGAAGTGGGGACCTACCTTGGGACCAGCGATGCCATCACCGCCAGGGAAGCCGCGGCTGCCTGGAGCACCCTGAGAGGGGACAGCAGAGGGGTCAGTGTGGGGAGACGGGGTGACCTCGGGGATGTTTGGGGGTGCCGGGGAGGGACGTGCTCAGGTAGGACCCAGCCACGGGTGGCAGCAGCCTGGTGTCCCTGTGGGGATGCTCCCCTGGGGACCTCAGGGGGGGGACACACATGGCAAGGGGATGGAGATGTCCCCACGGTGAGGGGGGATTGTCCCCAAGCACCCACGAGGCTCAGGCGTGGGATGTTGGGAGCAGGTAGGAGGAGAGGGATGGGGACAGGGACACAGCAGGGGTGGGACAGGGGATGTTCCTACTCACCCGTTCGCCAGCAGGGCCGGGCAGCCCAGCAGGGCCGGGCTCACCACGGGCTCCTCTCTTGCCTTCCTCACCAGCAGGGCCGGGGGGACCTTGGACACCAGCAGGACCCTGGGGAGGGAGGCAGAGGGATGAGCACGCACAGGGTGTTTGGGGGCTGGGGGGGGAGGCTGAGCCCCCACGGGGACATTGGGGGGGTCACTCACAGGTTCTCCTTTGGCACCGGTGTCTCCCTTGTTGCCTGGGGCACCAGGTTCACCCTGGGGGGTGGGAGGAGAGAAGGGATGAACGTGGGATAGATGCTCAGGGTCTCTCAGCACCACCTTGCACTGGCAGGGCTGGGGGATGCCAGAAGCATCTCCAGGTGGGGCAGGAGCTTGGAAGGGATCCTGCAGGCTGGAGGTGTCTGGGGATACTCACGCTGTTACCCTTGGGCCCGGGGGCACCGCTGGGTCCCTGGGGTCCGGAGGGACCGCGGGCACCGGGGAAGCCGGGAGCACCAGCAATGCCAGGAGCACCCTGGAAGGGGCAGAGGAGGTGGTGAGGAAGCAGCAGGACACCTGGAGCAGGAGCTGGGCGAGGGGACAGAGACACTCACCACTGCACCCTTGGCACCGGGTTGACCATCAGCACCGGGGTTGCCCTGGGGAGAGGAGGAGGAGGAGGAGGGTTATGTTGGGGCCACCAAGACTTGAGGCCAAAGGCCAAGGAGCCATCAGATGCCACTTACAGCAGGACCAGCAGCACCAGCAGGGCCAGGGGGACCGGGCTCACCACGAGCACCTTGGGGACCTTCGCTGCCACGAGCACCATGGGGACCTGTTTCACCCTGAGGAGGAAGAGGAGGGAGGAAGAGCAGTGAGCAGGAGGGCTGCCCTGAAACCCCTGGCATGGCTGACCCGCCCCTCCATCCCCAGCTCCTTTCCCATGGAAGCAAGGCCAGGACACATGCCCATAGGATGTCCCCATCTGTCCCACCATCCCAGGCAGCACTTTGGGCTTTCTCATTTTGGGACCATTTGATGCTCAGTCCTTCTCCCCCACCCCACAGTCCCAGTTTCCCCCAGTTTCTCCCAGGCCAGGAGATGCTCAGGCAGGTCCTACCTTAGCACCAGCAGCACCAGGGAAGCCGGGGGGACCAGCAGGGCCAGTTGGACCCTAGATGGGAGAGAAGACAAGAGTCAGAGGAAAGATCCCACTTTGCACATCTCGTGGGTTTTCCAGGCAGGAGAGTTCTGCTCCTGGGCCAGGAATTCCCAGCTGTGGTGGAGCTGGGATGGGATCTCCCTCTGGAGAAGCTGGTGCTGGTGAGTTTGGGGGGTACTTACGGGGGGACCAGCAGCACCGGGAGCACCATCGTTACCACGAGCACCCTGCGGGAGAGGAGGCACCCGTTGGAGATGCCCAAGGGCAGGGAGGGGTCCCCAGGACCCCCCCTCAAACCCAGGGCAGGGGCTGCTCAGCCCCAGAGCAGATACTCACAGCAGGGCCAGACGGGCCGGGACGGCCTCTCTCACCAGGAAGACCACGGGGACCCTGAGGAGGGAACAGGACATGTTTGAGTCACCAGGAAAGACACTTTTCCCCCCTCCCATCCATGTGCCCTCTCGTGTCCCACCCCATCCTGCCCACAGTGACATTTCCAGAGGGTTAAACTCCCCTCCCACCCCGTTCCGTGGGGTGTCCCCAGGGCAGCACCCCCAAGGAGGAGCTGTTTCCCCATCACATCTTGTCCCCCTTCCCTGTCCCCTTTTGTCCCCCCTTCCTTGGGAGAACCTCACCACTCACCATCTGCCCAGGAGCACCATTCTCCCCGGGGCTGCCAGGCTCTCCCTAGGAGAAAGGACAACATTGTGGGACCTTGTCCAGAGGGAGAGAAGGAGCAGCAGGAGGACGGGGGTGACATGGTCACCGCTCCTCACCTTGGGGCCAGCAGGACCAGGCTCACCCTTGGCACCATCCAGACCACTGAAACCCTGGGCAGCAGGGGAAAAAAGTGGGAGAGGTCAGGAGGAGACCCCCCCCCAGCAAGGTCGGGCTCCCCCTGTCCCTAAATCCTGCAGCCATGGGAGGAGGGGACTCACCCGATGACCCTTCATGCCTGGCAAACCGGCTGTTCCTGGGAGACCACGGGCACCCTGGGAGCAAAGGGCAGGAGGTGATGGAGATGCTCAGGAGGGGGGTTGTCTCTGCACCCCCTTCCTCCCATCCCCAAGGGGGACAGGCAGCTGGTGTCACATCCTTGCTCTGCCACCTGGCAAGGCTGTCCCCGAGGGCATCTCACCTGGGGGCCGGGGGGACCACGCTCGCCAGGACGGCCAGGCTTTCCAGCTTCACCCTAAGGAGAAGGACAGTGGGTTGGTGGCACATTCCCCAAGCCAGGGGGTTCCTGGAAGGGTTGGCAGGGCCACCAGGCCCCAAACAGAACTGGGGACACCCCATCCACAGGTCACTTACATCATCTCCGTTCTTGCCAGGGGGGCCAGCGGGACCACGGGGACCCATGGGACCCTAGGACAGATGAGATGCAGGGTGAGGGTGCTGTGGGTGGCAGCTGTGGCCTGTCACCCTGTCACCCAGCTTGGGCAGAGTTGGGATCCAGCAGCCTCATTCCTACAGCTCTTGGCTGAGATGTCCCAGGATGGGGACAGAGTGGCCATGGCCAGGGCTGGAACAGGCAGCCTTGTCCCCATCCCTGTGGGACATCAGGTTGGAGGAGGAGGTGGCAGGACTCACAGAAGCACCAGGCTCTCCAGGTTCACCAGGGGGACCTTGGAAACCTTGAGGACCCTGAGGGTTGGTGGGAAAAAAAAAGAAAAAGGGAAAAATTGGTTAGAAAAGAAGATTGGGCCTGAAGACCTCAGGGGCACTGCCCACCACCCCCACCCAGATGGTGGCACAAGGACACTTGTCCCCACGTGTTCCCGTGTCCATCAGGAAGGGTGGGACTTCCTGTCCCATCTTACCAGGCCTCCCCCCACCCAAAGGGACCCCTGGGGCTCGTTGTCCCCAGCATGAGAGGGGAGGAGGAAGAGGGAGAGAAGGATGAAGAAGAGGAGGAGATACTTACAGGAGCACCAGGAGGGCCGGGGAGACCACGGGGACCAGCTGGACCCTGGGGAGGAGGATGGAAAGGGCTGCTGAGTGGCTGCCACGTCCCCCTGTCCCCATCCCTGTCCCCACCACCACTCCTTTGCTGCACCCACTGGCACCCCATTGCCACCCCACCACCATCCCATCCCTGCCCCCATTGCCCCAGCCATGGCCACACTGCTGCACCATTCCTGCCCCATCACCTCTCCATCCCTGTTGCCATGGCAACCCATTCCCTGTCCCCAGCATCACCCCATCCCTGTCCCCACTGCCATCCCATCCCTGTCACCATCACCACCCACTCCTTCTCCCTATAACCACCCCATCCCTGTCCCCATTGCCATCCTACCCCTGTCACCATCACCACCCCATCCTTGTCCCCATTTCTATCCCATCCCTGTCCTCAACATCACCCATTCCCTGTCCCCATTGCCACCCCATCCTTGTCCCCATTGCCACCCCATCACCACCCCATCACCACTGCATCCCTGTCCCCATCCCTGTCCCCAGCCCT